TTTCTTCCACTGATCCAAGTTTCCATCTTGTATCATTTTCCTTCAGTTGGAAGATATTCCTTTAATATTTCTTGTAGCATAGCTCTAGATATCTTTATTCCACCTTCATTTTAGACAGACATTTTTGCTGCATACCAAATTCTGGATTGACAGTTTATTTCTTTCAGCACTTTACAGGTGTCATTCCTTTGTCATCTGGCCTTCATTGTTCTGATACAACATCAGTTACCATTTGTGTCATTGTTCCTCTGTGTGTGATGTGATGTTTTTCTCTGGCTGTTTTTAAGAGTCTCCCTTTACCTTTGGTTTTAGCAGTTTGGTTATGATATGCTTGCATGGCTAGGTATGGTTTTCTTTTTATTTATCCTGCTTGGGATTCGCTGAGGGTCATGGATCTATAAGTTTGTTTTTTATTATCTGTAAGATGCTTTTCAGAAATTCTTCAAATAATTTTCTTTTGCATTATTCTCTCTTTTATTTTCCTCAGGGACTCCAACTACACATTTTAATTCACCTGATATAGTTCCACAGGTCACTGAGATACCATTCCCTCTTTTTCCTCTTTTTTTTTTTTCTTTTTTTAAAATCTTTTTCTGTATTCTTCTAACTAGATAATTTCTATGGATCCAACTTCAAGTTCACTGGCATTTTCTTCAGCAATCTCCCATCTGCTATTAGGATCATCAATTTTTTTTTTTTAATTCTAGCAATTGTACTTTTCAGTTCTAGAGTTTCTATTTGGTTCTTTTTTATAGTTTCCATTTCTTCACTGAGATTCTGCATCTGTTCCTTCATGATGACCATATTTTCCTTTCTGTCTCTGAACATATTTATAATAGCTGCATAACAGTCCTTATCTGCTAATTCCAACATCTAGATTATCTTGATGTCATTTTCTAGTGACTGATTTTTGTACTATTGATGGGCATCTGTGTTGTCATCAGTTTACGGTTACTATATGTAATACTGTTATGGATATTTTTGTACACATCTTCTGGTTCTACTTAGCAGTAGAAGCGTTGAGCTCCAAGGTATATGTATCAGCAACTTTCCTATATAATTCCAGCAGTTTATGAGCTTTCTTATTTTTTCCACAATTATTTTAACTATAATATTTATATACTTTTAATTTGAAATAGTATTAAAGGAAGGTGTAAATTTTTTATGTTTTCCCAAAGCACATGAATGAAAATATGGTACATACACAATGGGATATTATTCAGCCATAAAGAGAAATGACGTCCTGATACATGATACAACATAGATGAACCTTGAAAACATTATGATGAGTGAAATAATTCAGTCACAGAGAGACAAATATTCTATAATCCCACTTACATGAAACATCCAGAATAGGTAAACGTATAGAGACTAAAGTTTATTAGTGGTTACTAAGAGTTAGGGGGACAGAAGGAGAGTCACTGCTAACGGAGCACTCAGGTTCTGTTAAACATGATGGAAAATTTTGTAAATGGATATTGGTAATGGTTGCACAACATAGTTAATGTCAATGAATTGTACATGTAAAAATGCTGAAATGGCAAATGTTTTATATATATATATATACATGTACTTACATATGTGTATATATACATATATATTTACCACAATAAAAATGTACATATTAATACCTTGAGAACTACTACTTTCCATTCAAGATTCAGACACTATTTATTGAGTGCTTGCTATTTGTCAGTCATTGTTCAAGGAATTGGGGAAAAAATGACAAGCAAAGTATGGTCCTGACATCACGAAACCTATATTCTAAGGCTTTAATTAGTTTTTCTACAGAATCAATGATTCTCAAACTCCTTTTGCAGCTGGATAAGCATATAGGGAGCCTTTTTAAAAATTTATATTCCCAGGCTCTACCCTAAATCTGCTCAATCTCAATTTTCCATACCTGGGTAAGATATATGAATACACATATACACACACACGCATTTTTAAATTGCTGAGCTCAATCACAGGTGAGTACCCTATTACAATAAAAGGATTGATTTCCACAACTGCAAAAGATGACAATCTTTGAAGATAACTGCTACAGTATAAATGGTATAAAATTTATAATTTCTTATCTATTTACTAGTACTTTACAAAAAATAAAGATGCAAAATACCTTTATCTCATAAACATTCAGTTGCTTGCTTTCTGCTGTATTCTTTCTTTTTAAGGCCTTATTCTGTTAAAATTAAAAAAAAAAAAAGAATTATGTTTAGTACCAAAGTGATTCTAACTTACTCTGGCACTGACCTAGACTGAATTACTAAAGGAAAGGAAAATGGTATTGTCTAATACTGTAGTGAAAATATCATAGTTTGATTTTGACAATATTTAAACAGTCCATACCTCCTGCTGGAGTTCTTCAGCATACTTGCTTTTATTTTCAACTTGTTTCCTTAAGTTGTTACACTAAAAACATATGAGAAATTACAGTTATTTTATTCAGTGGTTCAGTCAAGATAATCAATTTCAAACTAATGAAAATACTGTATAAAATAACATAAGGGTCACTTAAAAAATCATGTTGTTAAATAATTCCATTAATGTAAAAAATTATGTGGAAAAGTAATACAGATTTTAATAGAGATTATCTCAATGCAAATTTGAAACTCTTAAACACTTCTTAATCTACTTAAAAAACATACGAGTTCAACTACTTTAAGAAAAAATGTGCTTCTTGGTCAACCCTATACAGAGCTCTGAATCATATTAATTGGATTGTAAAAACAAAGCAGCCAGTGGTAAAAATAACTATAGTCGGTCTTCTTCCTTACATATTATTCCTCACTCCTCATTTCTGAGATCTCCTTTACTTGTTATATTTGGAAGAGAGAAAAATATGATACTCTATTTCCTCCTCACTACATTCCAATTTCCCTTACAGAAATACCAGCTGTCATGGTTTGAATTATGTCCCCCAAAAAATGTATCAATTTGGCTGGGCCATGATTCCCAGAATTGTGTGGTTGGCCTCCATTTTGTGATTGTAATTTTATGTTAAAGAGGATTAGGGTGGGATTGTAACATCACCCTTACCCAGGTCACATCCCTGATCCAATGCAAAGGGAGTTTCCCTGGGGTGTGGCCTTTTTATCTCAAGAGATAAAAGGAAAGGGAAGCAAGCAAAGAATTGGGGACCTCATACTACCAAGAAAGGAGTACCAGGAGCAGAGAGCATCTTTTGGGCCAGGTCCCTGTGCAGAGAAGCTTCTAGTCCAGGGGAACACTGAAGAGAAGAAGGCCGACAGAGAAAGAAAGCCTTCCCCTGGAACTGATGCCCTGAATTTGGACTTTTAGCCTACTTTACTGTGAAGAAATAAATTTCTCCTTATTAAAGCCATCCACTTGTGGTATTTCTGTTGTAACAGCACTAGATGACTAAGACACCAGGTAACCATTTTTTTCTATCTTACTTCAAGGAACCATATATACCACCTGGTTATATATGCAGAACTAGATTAAGAGATATTAACCCAAGTAATGTCTGGCACAGCATAAAAGTAGCACAGATTTCTAAACGGTCCTAGAAAGTTCCTGGAACATGGTGGTGATATGTAAATTGTTCTAATTACCATGAAAGCAGACAGAAACTTCAGTGGAAAAAATTTTAACTCTTATTAGCACAAATATTCTGTTAAGCATTTTTATTGCACCACTCATGTACAATCTTAAAAAAAGTTGCCGTTGAGTCAATTCCGACTCATAGCTACCGTATAACACAGAGTAGAACGACCTCATAGGGTTTCCAAGGAGCAGCAGGTGGATTCGAACTGCTGACCTTTTGGTTAGCAGCCAAGCTCTTTAACCACTGCGTCTGAAACTGAATAATATATGGCACAGCTGTTTACAAGTATTTATTTCATCTAAAATTTAGTATGTCCTACCCTACAATAGTCTATTTCAGAAAATTCAAAAAAAAAAGCTATAGAAAAGTGAGGAACATTTTACTAATTTTCATGCCAAAATTAAAAAATCAAAGATTTCTAGTTTTGGGAGAAAGGTCACCTAGATACTCTGAATGACCTTCCTGTTAAAAATAATTTTAAAATAGATAAAAAAAAAAATTTTAATCTTTAAATGCATCAGTGAGCTGGCTAGAAAGTAAGGAATCTGCAGAGGTCCAAAAAAAAAAGTTAAAGTGATAATCATAGGTTTGGGGCTAGCACCAAGGTCGTCATTTGCCCTAAGAGTATCTGCTGAACCCACCCAGGGCAAGGGAAACAAGAGATAAAACTTAGGGTGCACTAAAGGTAGAGAATCCAGTAAGATAACCCTGTATAAAGACAGGGACTCAAAGGACTACATACTCAGTAAAAGTGTAAATAAGAAATAAATCTGCCACACAGAAGGAAATAGTAAGGAAACTTGTCTGTCTTGACCTTGACAGTGAAAGGGATAAAAATACTCCCTGAGAATTTATAACCATGAGCTGGCCTTACATGGATTTATAGGCTGAATTCATGCTATCTGTATGGTCCAAAAAAAACTTCAAGTGAAGAATTTAATTTAAAATGTCCTTAGATGGTAGCGTTCTCAAGAAAATCTTTTGGGAGGATGACAACTTCAACACAAACCTTAAGGAATTCCCACAGATAAAATTCCAAGGAATCATAAAAAATACAAAGCAATAAGGCTCAATGAGTAAAATCCAGCAGAAAAAACAGAGAACATAATCAGACCTGAAGACTTCAAATATTGAAATTATCAGACTCAGAATATAAAATAAATATATTTAAAGAAATTAAGACTTAAAACTAAGAACAAGAAGCAGAAGACCATAAAAGACAACTGAGCAGATATTTAAAAGAACTAATTAGAACTTCTAGTAAGGAAAAATTGAAATTAAGAACTCAATAGACAGAAAAATCAGTTACTTATTGGCCCTACCAAATAAATGTTGGATAAATTTAAAGAATATTAATTTGAAGCATCACCAATTACTATTTTCCCCCAGATATCACGTTGTATTATATATTTCTTAGTACTCCATTGTTCAAGCCATCAAAATTTATTCCCTTGAGAGTTAATATTGATGACCATCCTTTTCTCCTGCTCAGCTCTTTCTAAAAAACCACCCTTATAGCTGGTATAATGACACAGTCAAAAAATGTGTATATTTATACTAAAATGATAACAACATCAGTCATTTTGATTGCCTAATCCAAAACCCCACCATCCCACTCTCCTTCTGCATAAGCTGGTGAAAAATAAAGTAACTTAAGTTTTCACTCCTTTTAAGTTTAAATAATCTTCAAATTTGGGGCTACTTTAGATTATATGGCTTTTTAATAAAACATTTTCTTTTAAATGGTAACAGAAATTTAAAATATATTTGGTAGAATGCCTGGAAATTCTTTCAAATATTTTAAACTATCACAATTCATTTTTAAGTAAAACTCATGTGCAAGAAATGAAGATTTTTGTTTACCAGAATTACCAGGTAGAGGAGAATGATGTTGACTATTAAAGGTCAGAACAGAAAGTCAACTATTACTTTTCAGAGGACAGCTCACCATATGGAAGGTCAAGTTTAAGACTAGTGTGTGGTGAAGCACAGAAGAGGGAGAAGGAAATTGAGATTAGTAGCCTGGCAGTAAAACTCAGATACAGGGAGTAAAAATTTTTCTGCAGCTTTCTTGAAAGTAGAATGTGTAGGAAAGGGAGAGATATATAAGAATAATTTTTAAAAGCGTTCTGCTCCCACATGGATATCCACAATAAATGCAGCTGCTAAGAGTATAAAATTTGGGGGGAGGGAGGAGATAGCTAAAAAGGAGTTTAATGAAACTTTGCTCTTTGAAGCATTGTACATAGCCCCTGAACTCAGAGGACACCTACAATAAAAATTCTACATTTTCTCAAAGGCTTAAAGCCTCGAAAGGAGAAATGAGATTCTTTGTACAGGACAGTGTAAAATCTGGCCCTAAATAATCCAGTCATACATATATTGCTACAAAGTCTCTATTCCCAAAATTTTAATTCAATTTGATAATACCTTGTTTTCTAATATCTTCATTTCTTTATCTTTTTTTAAAACTTCACATTGAATGTTTCGAGCCTAAAAAATATTTGACATCAGATTAAAGATATTAACAGAAATTCTATTTTTCTTCTATAAGTATCTTTTAGTATTATTCAGAAATGGAATTATAAACCTTAGTCTCATACTTCTACAAAATATTTATCAGCTCTCATTTTATTTCAATGTCTTTTTTTTTAAATAGTCTTTGTGTTAATGTTTAATTGTTAATGTTTATCATTCTTATCTTAGCCCAGTATCATTTTGTAACAGTTTATCAGCTTTCCCAGCTTATCTTGGATTTTTTAAAAGTGTCTTGTATATAAATATAATCTCTTAAATATGTGTTTCACAAATTTTTATTAATCTGAACCTTGCAACAACTCAGCGAGATATAAAAGATAGGAATTACTCTCTCAGTTTTAGAGATGAGGAAATGACTCATTAGGTAAAGTAAACATGAAATAATAAATGTCTGAACTAAGGTAGTGAATTGGGAAAAGAAGAAGTAATGAAATTCAAGGTCAGGCAAAATATCTGATAATTATTTGCACCTTGGATTCTTTCTGGGAAACTGTTTTAATAGGTAACTTAAAATCCAATCATGGGAAGCTGACAACACTAACAAAATTTATCATGCATTTCATTTTCTCCCTAATTCATCACTAATATTTCTACATTGGCAAAACAAATTATGCTTTAAATTCTGAATGGAGAATTTTGATTTTACATTAAACATCAAATTCATGTTCTTCCCCAATACCAACAACAAAGAAACCGTAGGCTTAGTGCTTCGAAGCAGCCTCTAATACAAAATTTAAAGTAGTGAATTCCATACCAAGTATTTAGTCTTATATTCTTTTTCTTTTTGGTTGAATTTAATCAGTAAATATGAAGGTGAAAGAAAAATAGATTTTGAGGAGAAGGAAAATATGGTATAGTGTCAAGAATGTAGAAGACCAGCTCTACTACTTCTTTATCATGTAACCTTGTTGAAGTTTTTTACCCTTTCAAGATCCTATTTCCTAATTCATAAAATGAGGACAATAACTTCCAGTTAAATAACATATAAAGGACCTAGAACGTGCCTGCTCCACTGTAAGCTCTTAAAAAATGTTAGCTCATCCCATCCTTGGACTATTCTTATAGTCTCACAGCTTTCTAAAGTATAGGTAAATTATGACATCCCTCAGTTCGAAACTCTTCAATAACCTCAAACTCCTAAATACATCTTATGAGGCCTCACACGATCCAGCCTCTTATTATCTCTCCATCTTCATGTCCCTCCACTACCACCACTACCTTTAACTCCACCTTTCAGCTAAGATAAACTTAAATATGCCATGCTCTCCCATGCTTCCAGGCCTTCCCACATAATTTTTTTAACTTGGAATACCCTATTCATCCCTGCTACATTTGTGTTCACCCTCTTGCCTTCTACTAGTTCCTATTAATCTAAAGTTTCAAACTAAATGCCACTTCTTCCAGGAAGCTTGCACTGACTCAAGTTTGGAATAGGTGTCCTTTCTATGGGCTCTAATAGCATTCAAATAAGAGGACCTATGTATTGTTCTGGCCAGCAGCCTTTCCTTCAAGACCTCTTTTACTGTAAATTCCACAGTAATCTGGATCTGTCTGCATAGTTTAATGGGGGATAACCCTGTCTCTCACCCCAGCTCCAGAAGCAGGCATGCTGCTCAGACCTACCAAGCTTATTCTATCCCCTAGCAATAATGATTGCCTTGGGAATAAGTAAGTAAACCAAACTAGGCCAGAGTTCACTCCAAAACTTTTTTCAGAGCTTTCAAGACTAATTTTAATAGTCTTCCAACTGATTCCATCATTTTCATCTCTCTTCATTCCATTCTTAAATATTAAAAGATGTCATCTCCCCAATACAAAATTTAATTGGATCACCACTGTCCAACAAAACAAATGAAATCCAAACTCAGCACCCAAAATAGTGCCTGGCACATAGTAGGAGGTCAATAGTATTTTGTTGGATAAATGAAATGCTCAAGCCCTTACAGTCTAACCTAATCTATTTCAACCCAATATTCTCCCACTATATGTAAGTTATATACTATAATCACACCACATACTTTGTAGCTTTCCATTATCATGACATTATTCCCTAAATATCTTCTTCCTATCTCAACTTGTTAAATTATACCCAGCAAAGCTCAATACGAACTTTTTGATCAATGTGGTAGAAGTATATTCCATTATCACCGAAGCATGAGCTTTTCATTTAGCCTTAAAAAGTAAATCAATATTAAACACTGATTAAATTCACTTCAGAATTATGCTAATATTCCTTCCAGATATAAATCATATTAGAAAAATAATCGAACTTTGCCTATATTTTTAAGATTGATAGGCTATGACAGCCCCTAGATGACTAGTTATACAATAGTATACATCACTTTGTTTTTTAGACACACAGTGTTGCTTTTATGATTTAAAATTTTGTGATATAATCTATTATTAAAAATAGCATACATTTTCTTCACTCTTGTCCAGTTTACATTTAACTTCCTCTCCTTTCTTTTTTAGCTCTTCTCTCACAGATTCCAGTTCATTCCTAAAAGGAAAGGAAAAGAGCAACACTGTAGTACAAGTCATATTTTCATTTTATTCCCTTTGCGGATTTCCAAAATGGTTGACTCTATTGGTGTTTTTTGGTTTTTTTCTTCATATTATTTGGTAATTTTTTTTGCATAATGCCAACTGGCACACTTCCATTCCTACATTTAAATTAATTTATAACTTTTTTTGAAATTAATTATCTGGATTCTTATAGTCATTTTCTATAGACAATTTCTAGAAAGAAACACATCTTTTATTTGAGTCAAGATTTCACTTCCAAGTTTTCTTAGAGATAAATTAATCATCATTCTAAAGCATACTGTAATTTATACAAAAATAAATTAGGAACATAAAGACAAGTAATTTAGTGAAAAACTATATAACTGAAATTATACATACACAATATATCCTTGTGTACATAAGAAGTATCTCTGGTAATACACACAAGAAACAGCAATACTTCTGGGGAGTGAAACTGGATAACAAGAAACATAAAAATAAACAATATATTTTCTTTCACCGTGTGCCCCTTCGTCCCTTAGAATTTTGTACCATATGAATATACTATCCTTCCAAAAATATTTTAATTAAAAAACCTGTCTGTTGCACATGAAAATAATGGTCCTTTGTCTCAGACTGATACTTGAAGCTATTTTTCTAATTGTAATCTCCCTTGTTACCACTAGTACATTGTTGGGCGTAACCTGTCAGCATGGAATAGTGTTTAACCATGTGGAATAACCAGCCTTGGGGTTATTCCCAAGATATTTGAATCCAGAATACTTACTGAATCCAGGATATTTACTCTTTAACAGAGTATTAAACTTTTAATCAACATATTCTCACTGTTTTTAAATATGTTTATGTTTAGTGTTCTATTGTTGTTGTTAGGTGCCGTCAAGTTGTTTCCGACTCATAACGACCCTATGTACAACAGAAGAAAACAATGCCTGGTCTTGCACCATCCTCACAATCATTATGCTTGAGCCCACTGTTGCATCCACTGTGTCAACCCATCTAGTTGAGGGTCTTCCTCTTTTTCGCTGACTCTCTAACTTATCAAGCATGATGTGCTTCTCCAGGGACTGGTCCCTCCTGCTAACATGTCTGAAGTATCTGAGACCTCACACCATCCTTGCTAATGAGCATTCTGGCAGTACTTCTTCCAAGACAAATTTGTTAGTTCAACTGATAGTCCACTGTATAGTCAATATTCTTCACCAAAACCATAATTCAAAGGCATTAATTCTTCGGTCTTCCTTATTCATTGTCCAGCTTTCGCGCGCATATGAGGTAACTGAAAACAACATGGCTTGGATCAGATGCACCTTAGTCTTCAAGGTGATAGCTTTGCCTTTGAACCCTTTGAAGAGGTCTTTTGCAGCAGATTTGCCCAATGCAGTACGTCTTTTGATTTCTTGACTGCTGCTTCCACGGGCATTGATTGTGGATCCAGGTAAAATGAAAACCTTGACAACTTCAGTCTTTTCTCCATTTATCATGATGTCGCTTATTGGTCCCGTTGTGAGGATTTTTGTTTTCTTTACATGGAGGTGTAATCATACTGAAGGCTGTGGTCTTTGATCTTCATCAGTAAGTGCTTCAAGTCCTCTTCACTTTCAGCAAGGAAGGTTGCATCATCTGCATATCGCAGGTTGTTAATGAGTCTTCTTCCAGTCCTGATGCCTTGTTCTTCATATAATCCAGCGTCTTGGTTTACTTGCTCAGCACACAGATTGAATGAGTATGGTGAAAGGATACAACCCTGACAAACACCTTTCCTGACTTTAAAACACTCAGTATCCCCTTGGTTCAGTTCAAAAGACTGCCTCTTGGTCTATGTACAGGTTCCTCATGAGCACAATTAAGCGTTGTGGAATTCCCATTCTTCACAGTGTTATTCATAATTTGTTATGATCCACACAGTCAAATGCCTTTGCACAGTCAAACACAGGTAAACATCTTGCTGGTATTCTCTGCTTTCAGCCATGATCCACCTGACATCAGCAATGATATCCCTAGTTCCACCTCTCTTCTGAATCCAGCTTGAATTTCTGTTCCCTGTTGATGCACTGCTGCTAGTGCTTTTGGATGATCTTCAGCAAAATTTTACTTGTGAATGATATTAATGATGTTGTTTGATAATTTCTGCATTCTGCTGGATCACCTTTCTTTGGAATGGGTACCAATATGGATCTCTTCCATTCGGTTGGCCAGGTAGCTGTCTTCCAAATTTCTAGACATACACCAGTGAGCACCTCCTGTGCTACATCTGTTTGTTGAAACATCTCAATTGGTATTCTGTCAATTCCTGGAGTCTTGTTTTTCACCAATGCCTTCAGTGCAACTTGGACCTCTTCCTTCAGTACCATCAGTTCTGGAGCATATGCTACCTCCTGAAATTCTTTTTGGTACAGTGACTCTGTGTTTTCATTTCATCTTCTTTTGATGCTTCCTGCACAGTTCAATATGTCCCCCATAGAATCGTTCAATACTGCACTTGAGGCTTGAATTTTTTCTTCAGTTCTTTCAGCTTTAGAAATGCTGTGTTCTTCCCTTTTGGCTTTCTATCTCCAGGTCTTCGCGTGCTTCGTTGTGATACTTTACTTTGTCTTCTCGAACTGCCCTTTGAAATCTTCTGTTCAGCTCTTTTACTTCATCATTTCTTCCATTCACTTTAGCTATTCTACATTGAAGATCAACTTTCAGAATCTCTTCTGACATCCATTTTGAACTTTTCTTTCTTTCCTGTCTTTTTAATGACCTCTTGCTTTCTTCATGTATGATGTCCTCGATTTCATTCCACCACTCATCTGGTCTTCAGTCATTAGTGTTCAATGAGTCATATTTATTCTTGAGATGGTCTCTAACTTCAGGTGGGATATACTCAAGGTTACTTTGGCTCTTGTGGTCTTCTAATTTTCTTCAACTTCAACTGGAACTTGCATATGAGCAACTGACAGTCTGTTACACAGTCGGCTCCTGGCCTTGTTCTGACTGATGACATTGAGCTTTTCCATCGTCTTTTTCCACAAATGCAGTTGATTTGATTCCTGTCTATTCCATCTTGTGAGATCCACGTGTATAGTCACTGTTTTTGTTGTTGAAAACAGGTATTTGCAATGAAGAAGTCATTAGTCTTGCAAAATTCTATCATGCGATCTCTGGCATCGTTTCTATCACCAAGGCCGTATTTTCCAACTACCAATCCTCCTTTGTTTCCAAATTTCTCTTTCCAATCACCAGTAATTATCAATGTGTCTTGATTGCATGTCTGATCAATTTCAGACTGCAGAAGCTGGTCAAAATCTTCAATTTCGTCATCTTAGGCCTTAGTGGTTGGTGCATAAACTTGCATAATAGTCGTATTAACTGGTTGTAGGTGTATGGATATTATCCTATCGCTGACAGTATTTTGAGTGCCCTCCAACCTGAGGGCTCATCTTCTGGTACTATATCAGACAATGTTCTGCTGCTATTCGTAAGGTTTTCATTGGCCAATTTTTTCAGAAGTAGACTTCCAGGTCCTTCTTCCTAGTCTGCCTTAGTCTGGAAGCTCCACTGAAACCTATCTACCAAGGGTGACCCTGGTGGTATTTGAAATACCAGTGGCAAAGATTCCAGTATCACAGCAACATGCAAATGGTGGTAGTGTTTTATAAATTCATACAACAGGTGGATGGGAAAAATAGATACTGTCCAAGTAATTTGAATTATTTTAAATAAAGCAGTCTCTTCCTAATGTGTCTTCACTTTTTATCCCCAAACTGTAGAGTTTTAATCATAAAGATTCAAAATATAAATAACAGCTACATATAAGTAACAGCTAATATTTTATTATTAAGTACTTGGTATGTGCCAGGCACTGGGCCCAGCACTTTATTCACATTATGTCATATAATTCTGAAACAATCCTATGAGGAAGGTATATTACGTCTAAAGAAGATCTCAAAGAATTTAAAATCTTAAAAATATTTAAAATAAATTTTAAGGACCACATACTTTAATCAAACATAATAAATCAAAACCTGATACTTCAGAATGTAAGTTTTAAAAGTCCCAAAATAGTTGGAAAACAGGAAATATTTGCCTAAATTATTAATAGATGAAAACTTCAAATATAAAAACAGGTTATTTAGAAAATAAAATCTGCATATCAAAAACCATGTCATAAATCCAGAGCTGTGTTCAGAAATAAACTGACAGCTTAAAATGATTCTTTTTTAAAAAGAGATAATCAATATATGATTATTTAAAAGAACTAAAGAAAATATTAATATTTTATTTCTCACAGGCTAGAAATTTCTAAGTATAAAAACAAAGGGAGAAATTACAAAAGGAAAGGCAATCAGATTTTTTTTTTACTGTGCTTTAGATGAATGTTTACAGAACAAATTAGTTTCTTACTAAACAATTAATACACATACTGTTTTGTGAAATTGGTTGCCAACCCCATGACATGTCAACACTCTCCCCTTCTCAACTTTGGGTTTCCTCATTTCCATTCTTCCAGCTTTCCTGTCCCCTCCTGCCTTCTCATCATTACCCCTGGGCTGGTGTGCCACTTAGTCTCATATACGTGGTTGAGCTACATGTATTACTGTTGTTTTATGGGCCTGTCTAATCTTTCGCTGAAGGGTGAACCTCAGGAGTGACTTCAGTACTGAGATAAAAGGGTTTCCAGGGGCCATACTCTCGGG